TATATGTTACTTAGTAATTCTACCATAATACGGTTTTTGAAAAATGTCCGAATTCAATTCCACCACATGTATAATAATGACAATAAATCAAAGTTTAATAAATATCTTATATTTAATGCCTGTTTGTGATTTTTAAAAAAATTTATCTTGAAATATATGTTGTCACTATCTTTATTAGTTTAATATAATATACAGATATATTTTTAATTTTAATAAAAATATTAATAATTATATTGATATATTAGTATCAATAATATAAGTTATATAGAAAAAAGTTTTGATAAACTTATAATTATAGCAAGGCATTAGCTCACCAAAATAAATAGTTATTATTTTTTTCCTTGTCTCAAGGTTTTTTACCAAAAAAATATCTATTTATAGTAATAGGCTAACATGTATACAATGTATCTCTTTATTTTAATATTAAACATGTAATATAAAATTACTCTTTTAATAAGATCACAAGAAATGCTTCAACATCTAAAAAAAAAAACTTATAATAACTATTGCTAAAAGATAATTTGAGACTTACTAACATTTAAATAAAGGTAAAAAAGAATAAATATACTGTATATACATGTTTAAAATCTAATAATTAATAATAATTTTAATAACTATCATTTTTTTTAAAAGTTATAATTATTAACGGCTGGCCTAGCCGGCGCATTACACTAACTGTATAATTATACATTTCCAGCTTAAAACAGAACAGTCAAAATAATTAATTTGGATGTCGCACTCTAAATCATCAAGATTATTATGTAGAATAATTTATTACTTATACAATTATAGCGTCAATGCCTTCGTAGATTTTTTGTCATTAAACTCGAACAGGTCTGTAACTTGTTCTTTGTAAAACGATAACAATGATAACATTGTATTAAAAAAAAAAAAAACTAACAAACATTTTCGTCTTAGTGTCATAATGCAGATAGCCACAAAGATCCACTACTTATGGAAAACAAAAATGAATTACCTTGTTTATATTGTACAAAAGGGAATTTTCCACCAATCAAGAACATGCATCAATTCGTAATTTCTCATGTGAGTATTCTTGATATTGTCGTGCTAAATTTCTATAAAAAGACTCGCTCAGAATTTTCATACCTTGCCCATCCACTTATCCATTTTGTACTTGCCAAACTAATAGAAGTTAAGACATCTCTGGAAGAGTCTACTTCTTTATACATTATATATAGATTTTCTTTAGCCTAAACCATTTTTATCTTCCGGATATGAAAATTCATCTTTTTGCTATATTCCTTCTATCAACTAGTGCAGCTAGTCTATATGTCGGTAGTGGCACAGGCACTAATCCACCACATTTAGTATGGAAATATAACAGACGCAATCCTGAATTTAATAAACGCGATGCTAATGCACAAAATGATATCGTCCCTGGCAAGAAGCGTGATGAAGAAATACAAAATGGATCATGGAGTGGTGCCGCCGCTGGATGGAAGCGCGATGCTAATGCACAAAATGATATCGTCCCCGGCAAGAAGCGTGATGAACACATACAAAATGGATCCTGGGGTGGTGCCGCCGCTGGCTTGAAGCGCGATGCTAATGCACAAAATGATATCGTCCCCGGCAAGAAGCGCGATGAAGAGATACAAAATGGATCCTGGAGTGGTGCCGCCGCTGGCTGGAAGCGCGATGCTAATGTACAAGATGATATCGTTCCCGGCAAGAAGCGTGATGAAGAAATACAAAATGGATCCTGGAGTGGTGCCGCTGCTGGCTGGAAGCGTGGTGCTAACACTCAATAATGATTATTGAGTGGCGGTGCTCCTAGCGGAGATACGAACACAAAACATCAGTGCTCAAGTCTTCTGATGGTGGATTTAGGGAATAAATTTCAACACCTTGTTTTTCATAAACGACGCTATTACTTCTAGAAATTTCATCAAAAATAACAATTATTATGGTAAAAAAGCAAGAATCAATATCTGTTCTCGAGTTTATAGACGTTATTTAAAGAAGCTAGGCCTAGCATTGTTATATTACATTCTTTGTACAATTTTCATAAACCATCGCATTTGCATAAACCGTGGCATTATCAGCATTTACATAAACCGACACATTTTTGTAATAGTTTTCATTTGCATATTTTTTTTATTGAAAAAATCAAGAAAAAATATGTATAAAAGCAAATTAACTTTTTGGTGCATTGAAAAACAATTTGATCAAAAACAATAAAAACAATTTTATAAATAAATTTTATAAATATCTGACAGTCCTCTTAGTAAATATGACGCAGCATGGATCACATAAATAGGGGTAGAGTATTTTAAAAGTATAAAGAAATATCCTATAAGTACAAGTGTAACTTAGGATAATTGGAAACTTGACTTAGAAAACTTATCTGTTCGAAGAGAATAATTAATGACTAGTTGGCAAAATTGTTAAAGAAGAAGCATAAATTTAGAGATTCCCAAGTTAAAACCGGGCCTCAATTTAAAGCCACAGATTGTTGGGTAGGTTTCTGACGTTTCTGCGAGGCGCGGACAGGGTTACAGTAAGTCTCGGGGGTGCGTGGGGGCGTAGATTTAGCTAATTATACAGGTTTTAGGATCAATTAATGACAGGTAAGTTTTTACTCTTTTTTATTGATGATTTTCGCAAAGCATTATAAAACGTTTAGATTCACTAAACAAATAGAGTTTAATTTTCAAACGCGTCAAAATATTAAGATTATTAATATATTAATATACTGTAACATGAGTAATGCCACACTAAGCGAATATAATATTGCGATAAAGAATGGCGCAAGCGAAAGTAAAGGAATACCAAGAAACTTATCTAATTCACGATGACCGGGATTTGCAAGAATCCATCGATTCGATTTAAATGTGAAGATTACATAATAATAGTTTCGCCATGAGATTTTAGTAGCTTTAACTTAATTATTCTACATTATAATTATGTAATTAGTGTGAAGAATGTATAAAAAGAAAGAAAGAATTCATAAAGAAAGGGAACTTTTCGACCAACCTCACCTTTATTAATACTCTAAGGCAATATATGGGTCATTCTTTTCGAAGGCGGACAGGGAGTTTCGGACCCAGAATAACTACCCCGAAAATTTATATTGATACATGACGGTTTATAATTAATCAGAAATAGTTGTTATATATTAAACTTTTTATTTTATTAATAAAAATAATTTTTATGTATTAAGTAAACTTGTTCCGCATAATTAATTCTACAGTATATGGTTAAATTTTTTAAATTTGGACAAACATTTATTATTACATTTAACAATTTTATTCTGAACGAAAATTTTTAATTTTTTTGTCAAATTTTGACATCCACATGAATTTTATAACTACTGTTTTAGCAAGTAATTTGTTATTAATAAATTTTGTTCAGCATATATTAAAGTATTTAAATTTTTATTTGATAAAATGTAAAAAGTTTATTTAACAAAAATTATAAAATGTAATTTTTTTTTTTTTTTTATAACACTGGCGTGCCAATAGTTTAGGTTTTTATTAACATATACTTGATGCACTTCACAATATTT